GCAACTTGATCAAACTTCCCAGTAATGCCCTCCCATTGATCCTTCATGTGGGTCTTTATCCCTGCAATTTGATTTCTCATCTCAGACCCGATTTCACCGATTTGCTCTTGAAGTTTGAGTTCTGTTGCTTCTCTTTTAAGCACCTCTGGTTGCCAATTTTGCTCTAACTTTTTGTATGAATCCTGCAGGTCCTTGATTCTTGTTCCTTCTGCCATGGCCGAGGAATGACCAGCTCTGGATACCAATTGTTATGTTTTTGGATTTTTTTGTCTATTTTCTGTAATTTTAAGATAAACAGTAGATAGAAATGGGGGAAAATGTATTAGAGAGAAAGAGGAAGAAAGGGGGAGGATTTAATGAGGAGAGAGAGTAAGAGAGAATCAAATGATATTTTTCATAATCCCAAATGCGTGAGTTTACAGCTTCTTAAATGACCACATGGACCCACTCACTAACAAATCACATGCACTCTCATAAGTTGTATCAAATAAGGAAAATATAGATAAATAAACTAGATAATAAATGCCACTCTCTCTCTCTCAACACGTGTTTGGCCTTTTTCACTTTTCCACAATAAGCATCGGACGTTCCGGATGGTTACACGTGTCGATCTTTGGCTCTTCAATAGAATTAACTTCAGTTGAATTTTCTAAATGCCCTATTTCTCTCACTGCCATCTCCATTTCTCCCTTCTCCGATCCCCTTTCACCGGAAACCCTAATTTCAGCTCCAAATCCCTCTGAATTCATAACAATAATATCTTCATGTTATTTAAGTGGAGGGTGCAAATTCTCCAAAAGAATGAAGTATTCTACAAAGTAACACACATTATTAATTGTTCTAAAATATATTCATTTTTAATTGTTCTAAAATATTTCCTTAATATCATAGTCGCATCCTAATCATTTGATAAATATAAAAACACTAGTACAACGCTCGTGTATTATATGGGTGTTTATTAAAAAATTATTATTAACTTTTTAAAATTAATGAGAAAAATTATTTTAAATTTTATTTACCTTTTTACAAAAAAATATTTAATATTATATCTATATCTATATCTATACTACTTTAAAAGGAGGAGTGTTTTGTAAAAATTCATAATGCCTAAAAACCCCTTACTTTGACATGAATTTAATGGCAAATTAGTAATACACTAATACACATCATATTTTATTTATATTTTTAATTAAAAAATAAACTACCTAAAAAACCCTTACTTTCACATGTTTTTAATGGCAAATTGGTAATATACTAATGTCATCATATCTTATATCCTCCCTATATGTAATTATAAAAAAAAAAAACATAATTTTTCTCAATTCAACGTAAGTAAATCAATGGAAATAATATATTTAAAAAAAAAAATATGAACAAAAGTTGACTCGGCAATATTATTAATGAATTTATAAATTGTAAATATTTAATTAAAATATTAATTAAAAAATTGTATTATATACAATATAATATAGAACATACAAATATTTGTCTATAGAATATACAAATATTAATATAGAATATACAAATATTTGTCTATAGAATATACAAATATTAATTAAAAAATTGTATTATATATAATATTATATATAATACGTATTATAATATAATACGTATAAATGTGCTTTAGTTACTTAGCAAATAAAATATTATTTGTCTATAGAATATACAAATATTTGTCTATAGAAAATACAAATATTAATTAAAAATTGTATTATATATAATAATATATATATAATACGTATTATAATATAATACGTATAAATGTGCTTTAGTTACTTATCAAATAAAATATTATTTGTCTATAGAATAAGAAACAAATAATATAATAGTAATGCAATGAGAAAAATAAAACATGCTAATTTTCTTAGAAAAGTATGAATACCAATATTTACAAACAAAAAGTTTTTAAAATTACTACTTTTTTGTTGCTAGCGTTTAAATATATGGACTATGTAAGAAATTGGTTCTCATAAATAATGATCATATATTATTCATTTTTAATTTTTAAATTATTAAAAAATCTAAAAATTTGTATACATGATGTATATTTTAATCATGACTCCATAATAATAAACTTTACAAATGACTAAAAGTATCGTCATATAATGGAATTTTAATTCTTCTGTTGTCAAATATTTTAACAAATGATATGCTTCTCAATATTTTCTCATTGTTTTGTTTTATCATTGCAAAAAATAGATTATATTGTTTGTTTATATTCTAGATAAATAACACTGAAAATGAAATGTAGGAGTATCAAAACAATTTTGAATGTTAGAATTAAGTTGTCACTTTTTATAGAAATATTTATAATCTCATTGGTGTATTGTGCTTGAACATATGTGCAATTACTTTAGAGGTACTTTCAGGTAATGTATGATGATTTCAAAAAATAATTTAGCACATCGGGAGAAGTACATATAACCAAGATTTTGGAAAGTCAACTTTTATTTGGAGATAAAATTCATTCCCACCTCGTGGGGCGATGCAT